CAGAGTTGATGTTCACTCCGGGACTCGAACCCAGTGCCTTTCGCTTCAAACGCCATCGCGTTATCCACTCGGCCACTGAGTTCTGATAGCCAGTTGCTTGTGCAATGGGGTGAAGTTTTAATTCATTTACCATTGTTTTTTTGAATCTTCCCATTGATGTGTTAGGACTGCAACTGGTCAGTCTCTAATTGGCATATGTGCATACTGTGCGTATTGCCTCGATATAGCCTTAATTCACAAGCATTGTAAGCAAAGATGGATTGTGACTAGCAGTACATTACTAAATGAATTTAACTTATAAATGTTTAAAATCCTTTGTTTTTCTTTTTCATTTGAAAAAATAAGTTTTCTACAGTCAATTATTATCTCAAATGTTGCATCGTACAGAACCGTATTTCTATCATTCATGAATTTCTAATCGTCCTGGATGTATAGGTTCAGGTGAAACTGATTATTTACTTATACAAGATCGATATGATCGTATATATCCATTTGATCCAATCCATAATCTATGGGGTTACGTTCAGTGAATAGTTTCAAATGAAAATTTCCAAAAAGAAAATGTTGGTTAAATGAAAGTAAGAAATTACCACCATATACACCATCACGTTTATTCATGTTAACAAGAGATTTTGAAGTGTACAATTTACAATTGTGATGTTATGACAATTTCAAAAGAATTGAATATACTACTAAAGAATATAAAGAGTAATATAAATTTATGAAGAAGAAGAAGGAGAAGGATTTCACATCTTGGTAGATCTACAGGTTATCTATTAGCTAATGAATATGCAATTGGAATAACAATGAATATGATTATGTAAGTTTGTTTCTATGTATATCAATTATTGTTATTGTTGTTCTTATTATTGGTAATGCTGGTAGAAAAATAAGCATTACAGACAAAGTTAATAAAGAAACGCCCCCAAATGCCGTGGTACGGTGGAGAGTGGGGAGAGCCCGCTTTCCCACTCGAAATGCTCTCCAATGGCCACGCGTATATAGCCACTGCCAGGGAAGTGCTATTCACTGCTTCGTTGTGGCGGGGTTGTTGTTTTTGAAATTGAGAGGAGGAAAAGCGAATGTTCGGCGCTTTAACCGGATTGGTGGACACGGAAAGTCAAACTAGGGGAGACGGAAAACCCTGATTCCAAACCAATGGTTCACTTGGCCTCTAGTATCCTGAGGGAGTAAATGGCGTATGAATCAATAGTTGGTCACCGGCTAGCATGGGACTACATCTCCTTACGATGCTCCACTGTCATGTGGATCAGATGTCTAGGTCAAAGTCCACCTGCTTCGATCTGGGTACCCGGGCAGTATCACGGCCCTCACACGAATCAAATGAGATTTGTGTGGCGCATATGTATCTGTTGCCCCCCTCGTACCAATATTTATGTGTCTAAATAGATATAAATAAATTATAAAGAAACAAGAAAGGTTTAGTGTATAAAAAGCATGGAAAACAATATGAAAAGTTAAACATTAAAGAAATGTAAAAGATTAGTGCATTCGCATCGTTCTGATTATCTCCCATTCAATTCGCAATATTACGCAATGATTATTATCCAGTGATTTTGGTGATATGTCTCAGTCAGCTGAGGTGGCTGAGACATATGTATATTCAACCAAAGCCTACCTGGTAGCGTAATGTTAAATAAATTGGTTATTTGCTTGAATAAATAATTGTGAAGCTTTTGGTGTACACTGATGAATTACCGTTTACTTCAGCTTCTCACCTCTCTTCGGCCGTCAACAAAGAATTTCATGCAGTTTTGTCCTGAACTCTCCTTTGTAGTTCTTCCCAAGTACTCTTTATCCTTCTAATATCCTTCTTGAATTCCCGGCACCATGTGTTATTTGGTCTACCTCGTTTCTTTTTGTCATAAGGATTCGAAGTTAGGGATTGCTTTGTACGACACCTTGATGATCTTCGCAATGTGTTCTGTCTACCTCCGTTATTTTTTCTAGTTTTCCAGTCATTTGGACGCTGGCTTGTTCAATGCCACAGTAATTTGTTGTTGATGGTGTTTGGCCAATGGATGTGAAGTATCTTACATAGACATCTGTTTATAGGTACTTGCACTTTTTGATGGTAGTTTTCTCAGTTTTAGCTTTGTACAATAGAAATGTCTTGACGTTTGTTTTGAAAATCCTGATCTTAGTGTCGGCTAATAGTTTTATTGAATTGCGGATGTTATTCTGTTGTATGACTGATGCCCTTGCTTTTCTAATTTGTTCCTTAACATTTGCATCGAATCTTCCTTGTTTATCAATGATGCTTCCGAGATAAATAAAGGCTTCCACCTGTCGCAGAGCTTCGCCATAAATTGTGATTTGGTTGCTGCTCACTGTGTTTTATTTCAGGACCTTGGTTTTTCTCTTGTGAATGTTGACGCTGTGGAAGGCACTGCTACACTGGCGGACTTAGTCTGCATTTTTACTGTGTATGAGTGAAAAGAGCCAAGTTGTCTGCAAAAGCCAAATCATCCACCTGTATGTAAGGTGACCACAGTATGCCATGCTTCTCTGGAGAAGTGGACGGTTATAATCCGGTGAACAGCTAGCAGGAAGAGCAAGGACCGACAGTAGACACTGTTGTCTGATTGTTTCAATGCATGTGTGGGTTGCACCCCATGCATGACTTCTCAATTCAATCCCTCATAGCAGCTCCGTGTTATAGTGATGCTCTTCTGAGGTACTCTATAGTGCCGAAGAAGATTCTACAGGGTGTTTGTATCCATTCTGTCGAGTGCCTCGTCATAATCGAAGAATTTCACGTGTTGTGATGAGTTCTATTCGACTGAATGTTCAACATTGACCAGCAGTGTTGGTACTTGATCGGTCCTTGCGAAAGCCACCTTCTTAGACTCAAAGTTGGGCACCTACTGAATCTTTCATTTAAGTTTGTGACACGCTGTTGAAAACTTCGCGTGGTACTGAGAGTGATACTGTGCATCTAGTTGTCACATTTAGTAAGATCTCCTTGCTTCTGTATCTTGTTGAGGTATCCCTCTCTCAAGTTTATTAGTGCTTGTTCTTACTGTTTATAAAAGTAGTAATGTTTTGTTAAGTGAGAATTTCACTCATCTTTTTTGGCACACACGTTTCAGTGTGTGTAGATGATTGTCAGTCACATAAACAACAACTTATTATTAGAAAGCGGAATGTTTTAATCTAAATAAGATTCATAATACACTGATTATACAGTATAGATACAATAGAATACCATATTATTTGAATAATGAGATAGAATGAGGTGATAGACAACAACAAAGTACAATCATTGATATTTCTGTAAACAATTGAGGTCAACAGAAATATGTTTGTGTAATTAAACACTCCTATAATTAATACTGAGAAGAAAAGATAATGAATTCTACTTTGAAAAATTTATAGGATGTACCAGAAATGTTAGGATTTGGTGTTCTGTTATATTGAATTGCACACCTCGCCTTATCCCATGGATATCCGTCTCCGGCGGTAAGTCCCAACAAGTACGGAGCTAACACGTCAAGGGTTTCTCACTGACTACCTTGAACTACCTAACATCTTATAGAAGCCATCATAAGTGATTTATCATCGACGGATAGATTAATGTTAGATACCATTGAAGAGTGTCTCAATGAGTGCTACCATTTGCAAACTTCATATTGTCTCCTTGTTCGTTTTGTTTTTTCAAATATATGACAGAGTGAAAGTAGAGTGGAATATTTATAATGAGAACTGGCTAGATAAAAGCAAACCACCAATTTGATTAGTATTGGTGTCTTTTTCTTCAACTAACTACTAAACTGTATTGACTTAATGATTGACCATTTAACTGGCATACAACTGAATAACTTATTAGTTTTAGTACAAATTTCATTATGAAAGTAATTATGGAATATTAGCTACTTTTTCCAGCTATTCTAACTGACAGATTCAATACTGTGATCTGAACTGCTCGAGTAGTCACTTGGATAACTTCAGTTGAAGTTCAACTCGATAGGGTAGCAGTATAATTACAATTAAGAAATGATATTTCAAAGAAAAGAGAATAGGAGATTTATTGTTGTGTATCCATACACAGATATTTATAGCCTTGTACAGATTTGAGAGTAATATGTTAGAGATTTCCAAGTAAATAATTCGATCTAATGAGATTTTCACAGCATGACATCCTAGTTGTTGTTGTTGACGTCGCGTTTTTCTTTCTTCTGAAATGTTTATTTAATCTCAGAATATTTGCTTACTTTAAGGTTAAACTTTTATGTCTAAATATTATGATAAGAATGTTAATGTGATTCGTTATTGTAATGAACGTGAACACAGAAGTGGGACAACTGAATGTAGTTGAACATAAAATTAGAGGATCTCATAGTCAAATCTGTGAACCATAGAGTAAATACTTCATTTGCAAAATGTCGAACAATGGTTTGAAATTTCATTGGTGATACATCCTACTTATATCTGTCGACATCAGCAGCACACACGACAAATCAAGTCTTCGTAGTAATATCTTTAGCTTAAGCACAAAGTTCTTTGAAGAATATATATATATGTATTGATAGGTGATTAGCAAATACTTTATCACTTATTCTTGGGAATTCAAGAGATGGTTATAATTTACATAGGTTATTAGTCAGTTGTATGATCTTTATTTAAATCAAGATAAGATTTAATCTAATTTTACTGGGTTTTCATCTAACTACTGTACAGTGAAACATCTTCTAGGTTAAAACGTGAATAGAATTAGTAATAGTAAGCGATGGTTTAATAAGCTCAATTTAGTTGTTTAATGAAAACTCTTTGTCTTCTCTATTTAACATTGGTAATCCAGACATAATCCATCCCATTTGATCTGATGTTACTGTACCAGGAAATAATGGTGTACCAATCAACATTTCACTTAACATACATCCCAAACTCCATATATCAACATCTTTTGTATAATCATGACATGGATACCAGGGGAATTTCTGGAACGCCATTCCAACTTGTCGCTACGTATTCAGTCAATGCAGGAGGTAATGTTTTACAGTTGATTTTACCATTGAAATTTTCACACTTACTTCGACCTTTCAATGAATATGCTAAACGTAAATTACACAACTTCACTGAACAGTCAGAATGCAAGCGAACATTTGATGGCTGCAGTTTATGTAGTACCGAAAACAGGCAAAATATTAATTATTCATAATCATGGTAGGAAAAAATGTGAAGTGACTGAAGAATGTTTCACTGTGAAAGTAGAAAGTGAACGAATTCTACTTATGAAGAAACCATTTGAGTCAATGTTATACGCGTGTTTAATGATTTGCAGGGATGTACTCTATTTTCGTCTTATTGAACCAAATTCAAAAGTGGCGTGCACAAAATAAGTGTGCTATAAATTGATGCTTCTCTCAGGATGATTCGTCTGTCTTGTGAAATCCTTCATCTATTTTTCAAAGCAACCAGATTGAAACTGAAATAAGTGACCAACCTTTACGAAAGATTTCTTGCATCAACACCTGAACTATGGATAGGGAGTGAAGTAGTCGAACGCGTCGACAACTTCACTTATCTTGGAAGTCTGATCAGCCCAAATGGGTTGGTGTCTGACGAAATCTCAGCACGGATTCATAAAACTCGTTTGGCTTTTGCCAACTTACATCATCTATGGCGAAGAAGAGATGTTCGTCTATCGATTAAGGGACGAGTATACTGCACAGCAGTTCGCTCTGTTCTACTTTACGGCTGTGAAACATGACCATTAAGAGTAGAAGATACTCGTAGGTTACTAGTATTTGACCACAGATGCCTTAGAAATATTGCTCGCATCTGCTGGGATAACCGGGTAAGTAATAGTGAGGTTAGACGAAGGGTATTAGGGAACGATGGTAAATCAGTTGATGAGGTGATGAATCTTCATCGACTGAGATGGTTGGGCCATGTGTTACGTATGCCTGAACACCGATTACCACGACGCGCTATGATGACTAGTATTGGGGACTGTTGGAAGAGAATTAGGGGCGACCAAACCAAAACATGGCATCAGTGTTTGAAGTCACTAACTTCTAGCCTGAGCCATGTTGGCAGATGCAGACTACCTGGTTGGGATCCGCGTGACTATCGTAACCAATGGTTGGAGACTCTGGGTGGCATGTCTCAGAATCGATCACAATGGCGTAGGTGTATACACTCTTTATCTTCCCTTAAACCTTGAGACTAAAATTGCTTTATATCTGTAATTCTTCCTTTACTATATTCCTTATATACAAGCTTTCTTTTATGTATTAGCACCACTGAATTTACAACTTCTATGAATTCGGTGTTGATCTTGTTGTGCTAACGAGGTATGGCAAACAAACAAACATCAACATTAAGTAGTGTAATCCAGATTAATGTCAAGACTTGCAGATTTCACATCATGGATCTCATCATTCGATAGATTAAGACTTACTCGATTGCAGAAAACTATTATATTTATGATTTTCGAGTATTTATTCGTTTGTAAACCACTTATTTACTAATCCTAGTGGTATACTAAGTTTCATTGAAGATAGTTATATTCTTTCCACTTGAAACATACAGCTGTTCAAAAATGATACATTATCGCATTTGAAGACGGTGAGTGTGTGGAAATCATCGAACTGCATGAGGAGTAAAGCCCTAAGTTGGAGTTCTCAAGCCAAAAGAAAAAAGTTGGGAGACCAAAGAACACAATGTACTGTAAATCAGGAGCAGAAATAAAAGGAGTGAATAGCACGTGACAACAACGGAGAAGGAGAACTGAGAACAGAATTGGTAACAGGCATAGGTAAGTCTTATTTGTTTCTTTTGCACTCGTTTTTATGTCTATATTTCCTTCACAGTTTACGTCATATCCTTCCCTTTGGTTGCCATTAATGGTTGAAACATAGTGGAATGGCTGACTATTCACACACATGTTGAATAATATGAGAGTTTCCACTTCCGGTAACACAATGGTCACTGTGAAACAGATGAGGACTTATTCAATATGATGGTATAAAATTGTAAGCAGCTGACGAGAAACCGCAAACCATGGTGAATTCATGATGTTCTGCTAAATTGATTGTCCTTACTTCAGCAAAATTTATAAATGGGGAAAGTTGAATGAAGCGTCAGAATATTTCCAAATACAAACTATCTATCTGAAATTGTCTCAACAGGTCATTTTGATCACAAAATTGATAATAACTAGTTACCAATAAGTAGTAGAAGTAGTATAGGTAGAATACCTGATGGACATAATTTTAAATGTATTCAATGATTAGACAAACAGGACATCAATAATTGTGCTTTTATCAATAAGTATAAACATCTCTGTTCTACAAGATGTCAGTTGTGTTTTGAGTAATGTAGCAGTTGATTCTCATACTGCAAAATTGAGTGATCTGAGTTCTAAAGCGCAAAATACTCTCTCAGGTCTACTAAAATCTCGCTGCAAACTACACATTGGAGCCTTCAACGTACGTACCCTATTTCAAATCGGTCAACAGGCCTCCTTGGTTAAAACCCTAGAATCTCGTACGATTGATGTATGCTGTGTTTTTGGAACACGCATACAGGATCCTAGTGTGGTCATTCACTTGACCTCACCTTGTCAAACACACGTCGTCGCGTTTTCGTTGTTTCTGCCTACGCTCCCACTGACTGCAGCCCGGATGTAGTGAAAGATAACTTTTACAGAAAGATCTGTGAACGTCTTGAAAAAGCTAAGCGCTCAGACATAGTAATCGTAGCGGGTGACTTTAATGCCCAATTAGACGCTTAAACCAAAGAGAAATACATTTAGTGGGTATTTTAGTATCCGGCTCAGCGAACAGATAATGGTGATTGTCTGTTTGCAACTATGCTCAGACAATCGTTTATTTAGAGCAAACACTAAATTTAAGCATAAGGAGAGACATCGTCTAAAATGGCGACCACCTGCCCACCAAACCAAATGGATCCAGTGACTCAAATAAGGACCATATTGCCATCAGTCATCGTTGTAGAGGCTCGATAGAAGATTGTCGCTCGTATTGAAATACTTGTTTAGACTCTGATCACGCTTTAATACGAACACGCATTTGTCTGCGCCTCACCGAGACGCAGATAAACTGCACTAAGAAGACCCATTAGGATTGAACTGGAGGACGAGAAAGCCAAAAGTAGATTCCAGGAACAACTGAGTTCACATCTAGTCAGTTTGTAAATGAAACTGGCCCAGATGTTGCTTGAAAAGATATACGAATAGCTGTGGAAACAGCAGTAACCTCTGTTAGTGATATAGATGATCCGACGCTCTT